CTCCGGGGCAGGCGGGAATCGAACTCATGAGGAAGCGGCTTTAGATTCTCAGTGCTGTGCTTTAACCCGCTGCGCCACCAGGGAGGGCCCCAAATGGAGCATTTTTTAAAAAAAGATTTTTTTAAGAAAAAATTTATGCATGTAAGAACTAGGGTATAAGCCAGAGGTGAAGGGTGGGGATGGGTTAAGGGAATTCACCAGAGGCAGAGTGAGGAGCAGAACTGGGAGATCTACCAAAATACATTGCTGAGGGGAGCAGCAGGCAAGACAGGAGAGCTCTGCTGCGCCATGTGGATCAGCGCCCTGGCCAGGGATCGAACTCCTGCTGCAGCGGCTGCAGATAGCTTCACAGTGCTGTACCCCTTGTGCCACCAGGGAGGTTCCTAAAATGGAACTTTTTAATTGCTTGAGTTCTCTAATCAGTATGTATATAACAAAAGTGGAGATGGAGATGGCTTTATTGAGAGTGTGCCTAAAGACAGGTGGATAAAACATATGGTGTGTGTGTATATGCACAGCTTCTCTTACTTGTCTTGACTGCTTTTAGAAACATGACAGCAGAACCTGTTGGCTTACTGTCTGCACTCCCTCCCAAAGTGCCTCTTGATTCTCAGAAACACAAACTACTAAGGTTTAGTGACCTTCCGGCCCAGGGCAGGTCTCATTCAGTTTGGCTGTTCCTAACTGATCATAGCTTTGTTGAGTAAGATGAACTGCTTTGGTTCCTTGTGATTTGTTAATGGTCTTATACTTGTGCTTGAAGGCATTTTGACCACTTTAAAACCACAAACAAATAATTTGCTTCCCTTTAGGCCTCTTGCCAAACACTGGTAGTTATCTTGAACCTGTGTGTGTATGTGTGTGTGTTTAAAGTGGACATAAAGATAATTTGAGTCAGTCATCTGGGTTTTAAAATCAGTTTTGTTTGAAGATTCATGAAGTCTAGGGGAACAGAAATAGCGTCAATATTAAAAAATCAAGGAACTGTTCCTAGAACAGTTAAGTTTTACTAGATGAGAAGAGGGAAAACTATTTTAATTTATTCTTTAAGAACAAAACAGTGATATTTAACTTACTTTATAGTGTAGGCTAAATATAAGAAGTTAAATTGATGGAAAGATAAGAAAATAACAAGGAAAAGCAGAGGTGCTGTGTGCAAATTCTGA